AGACCCCACCAGCAACAGGAGAACAGAGGTACGGCGGTGACAGAGGCAGTCAGGTGCAAAATGCATCCCGGGCACAGCCAAGCAGCTGCCGTTGCGAAGCTCACAGGGAAAAGTCACCCCGAGGTTCAGGGCAGGTTTAAGGCTGTTTGCTGGGAGCTGAGGCCTCCCAGGACAGGGGGGTTTCCTGGAGCATGTCGCTGGTGTCCGGTCGCCAACAGCTCGTGTGGCTCCTAAGGGAGCCCTCCRGGCTGGATGCCCCCAGGATTTCCCCCCAGTGCATCCTCCCAGGGCTCCGAGCTTCCGCTGCTGCTGGAAGACAGGATTTAGGATTCCTGGGAAAGAGCCAGGCCCAGGCACTATCCATGAACCGCTTCAGTCAAATCCCCAACCTTAAGGAGCACAAGGAGAAGGTGCAACACGAGAGGGAGTCAGAACTGGACCCACTGCAGCCACAGACCCATTTTCCCTGCTAAAACTTAGGTAACTAAGTCAGGGGTGCAAAAAATGCTTCTGTTGGTCTTTCTGGGGCAGGGACCATCTGCTCACAGAGCATGTTGTCCCAGCAGACAACCAGTGCTCCTACCGGCGGGTAGACAGGTAATTAGACAATTAGCAACCAGGCATTTTTACCGGTCCCAAAGCTCCCCGCRTTTTTCAGGCCCGACAGCCAAGATCACTGGCAGCTTTCCAAGCTGCAAGGAGATGAGAAAGCAGCTGGGACAGGCTCACTGGGGCAGCCTCCTCCTGCAATGCTCTCTCGCCTTCTCTCCAAGGTGAATCACTTCCTTTCCTCCCGCCACTGTGCAATTTCCTACGCAGAGTTTGAATTTCCCAAGTCACTCGGTGTGAACAGTCCTGGCTGCCAAAAACCCTTCTCTCCTGGCAGAGCGACACAGAAATTTCCTAGCAGCGACCAAGGACTCGCAGCCCTGCCGGCCTCACTGGCCAGGGGAACAGAGCAGAGCACAAAGCCCGCAWGCTAAGAAGCTGCAAGCAGGAGCGCAGGGGACAACCCCAGAGGTCTGTGGTGACAGAAAGGCCAGAAATCCCCGGAGAAGCCCCGCAGAAGCGCAGGTCTCCCAGGGCATCGGGCATGTGAGGCCGCGGCACCGCCCAGCACGGCAGGACATCCCCATGTCTGTGGCACCTGCGTGGCACGGTCCCCACTGCCCCGCACTGTCCCCAGCCCCGCAGCCTCGTTGTCCCGCAGCCCCGCAGCCTCGTTGTCCCGCAGCCCCGCAGCCTCGTTGTCCCGCAGCCCCGCAGCCTCGCTGTCCCGCTGCCCCGCGCTGTCCCCAGCCCCGCAGCCGCGCTGTCCCCAGCCCCGCAGCCTCGCTGTCCCGCTGCCCGCGCTGTCCCCAGCCCCGCAGCCTCGTTGTCCCGCAGCCCCRCAGCCTCGCTGTCCCGCCGCCCCGCGCTGTCCCCAGCCCCGCAGCCTCGCTGTCCCGCTGCCCGCGCCGCCGCACGAGGCGGAGGCTCCGCCGGGAAGGTGCCTCTAGAGGGAGCTGAGCCCGGCCGGCGCCGCGCTCCCCTCTATGGTCCGGGGTTGGGTTTCTGGGCGKTTTTTTTTTTTTTTTTTCTTTCCCTTCTTTTTCCTCCTCCTCCTCCCCGGCCCCGCTCGCTTCCTTGCCCCGCGCCGGCGCCGCGGGAGGAGGCAGGAAGAGGCGGCGGGGATGGAGCCGCTGCCCGGCGGGCTGCACTAGGTGCCCGCGGCGCCCCGACCCGCGGTGAGTAGCGGGGACCCCCGGGGGGCTGCGGCAGGGGCCGGCGAGCCCAGGCGGGCGCCCGGACAGCTCGCCCCGTGCCCGCGGCCGCGCCGGGGCCGGAGCGCGCGCCGAGCTCGCTCTTGTCCTGGCCAGGGAGTTTTGCGGCTTTACAAACATTGCGCGGCTCTTTGATGGGTTTTTTCCCCCTCTTTTGAGGTCGCGCCTCAGGCAAGCGTGCAGGGGTTACAGGTTGAGGGCGGCGGGAAGGTGGAGTCGCTAACGGGAAAGGTCCAGCTCGCTCCGCAGGGATGTGGGACACGGGCACGGCACGTGCCGCTTCGCAGGGACTTGYCTGTGCAGCTTCCCGCCTGGCAGCGCTGGAGCCCGCGCGCTCACGGGCCATATGGGGCCGGCTGCGGGTCCCGCCGGGCTTGGGGCCGCCTGGCCTGGGTGGCCAACACACCCTGGAGGGGGTAGATGTAAAAGAGGGCAACCCCGTTGCTTGTGCTCCCAGGCCTGGCCGTGCGGGATGGCACCGGTGCCGGCGGGATCCCGGCCTCCGAAGGTGCCAGGCAGGCTGCCCTCCGCCGCCGCTGCTCTGCATCCCGTGCCGGAATGGCTGCGGCGTGCAGGCCCGAGGCCAGGCCTGAGCCGCCTTTCCCACGCGATGCTCCGGGCATTTCCTGGCCTGGGATCTTGGCAGCGTGCACGGGAGTGATCCCAAAGTCCTGTCRGAAGAGCTGGGCTTGTTCTCCAGGACCGGGGCTGCCCCAGCTTGTGTCTGCAGAGCCTCTTCCCGCCGGCGGCTCACGAGCTGGCCTCGGCCAGGGGTCATTCCCCACCATCTCCCCAGACACCTTCCTTTGGGAAAAAGCTGCGGGGGGAAGAGCAAGGGTCTGTCGTGGGGACACCGGAAACAGGCCGGGGACACTGAAGCAAAGGGGCTGAGGGCCAAACAAAAAGGAGTGGAGGCAAAGGTCCTTTATAGGGGCGATGAGGGGCAGCCGAAGGTYCGAGCGGGCTGATGCTCTGCCTGGCTCATTGAAGGGAATGTCCTGYGCCATCCTGCAGGTGCTGCCATCGGAAGGGCTGCTGCCTTCGTGTCCTTCACCCCTTTGTGTCCTCTTGTGAGGATGGAAAGTTAGGGAGGGGATGGATCTTTGCACAGCTGCTGAAAGCGAAAGCTGGGACTTCTCCTCGAGCAGGGCCGTGCCGGGCCCTGCGCTTCCCGCCAGCCCCGCAGAGCCCTCACCTTCTGCAGCCCCGCTTTTAAGTACATGGGTGCCCTTCCCACTGCTCCGTAGCGTCTTCCCGCACTCTCCTGGCTCAGTATCCTGGTAGCACATGGGGAATGGGCGGATGGAAGGGACGCTGGGCTGAGGAGCGGGAGGACGGCGGCGGCCCGTCGTGGGGCGGATGCGCCGCGGTCCCAGCAGGAGCTGGAGGTGAGCCCGAGGCACCGGCCTTGCGGCAGCGGGAGCCGCTGCCCCGCGCAGGGGACAGGCCCGGGACACGGCTGCCGGGCCCGTGTTTGCTAAGGCGGAAGGAGGCCGCAGCGTCCGGAGCCGCCAACACCGGGAAACCGAAACCGAAAGTTCCGGCGAGGGCAGTGAGGGACAGGCGGCCCTGCCACCCCTACGGAGCAGCGCCAGCTTCCCGGCACCAAGCGTGGATCACCGGCCACCCATGGGTGCACAGCCAGGCCCAGGGCCCAGGACTGCTCCAGGGGGCACTAACCAAGCTGGCAGCGTGGGCTCGTGAATCCCTGAGAGCTCCAGGGGCTGTTGGGCCCTTCGGAAGTGTCCGCATCGTGCCCCGGGCTGGGGGCAGCTTGCAGGCTGAGACGGGGTGGGAATTTGTCCCGCTTTGGTTATATGGGTTATATCCCACGCCCTTTGCGCCGGAGGGCAGGTTTAGCCTTGCTGGGCCCTCCAGGAGGGCGGGAGACGCTGGCGGAGGAAGGAGCGCGGGTTTCCTCTGTGGAGGAGGGGAGGGCGCACGTGCATCCGGCCCGAATCCGCACGGAGCCGCGGCGCAAGGAGGGGAGCCGCCGCGGCCGCCAGCCTGCCCTGCCCTGCAGCTCCGCGCTCGGCCCTGCCGCCGAGCCCGTCCTGCCVGCAGCTTCGCTGCTGCCCTGGGGATGGGTGTTGGGGAAGCAAAGTCCTCCCCGGGAGCCTGCGGGAGAGCAGCGCCGGCGGCCGCTGGGCCCAGCGCCTGCGGGGCAGGTGTGCAAATACAGGGTGGCTCCGCAGCCCTGCGGACACGCTTGCCATTTCTCATCCCCGCTCGGTCTGCAGGCCAGACTTCACTCTTACCATCTCAGTCCCCSTTTCTTCTGGTTTGCTTTTGTTTTTTCCTCAGTTATTGCCGGTGTGGGATGGGAAGCGCAGGCCGCGTGTTGTGCTGCTGATCTGGACATAGGTGGCTATTCCAGGTCGTTAAGCTGCCTGTTTGCCTGGGATAGGTGTAAACTTTGGGGTGTCAGCGGGTCTTCATGGGCCCAAAGGTGGTAGAAATGGGCCCAGGGCAGCCGGGAGGCCCCTCGGGAATCCTGTCACGGGAGCAGGCACCGGCATGGCGGGCAAAATCCTGGGAGCAGCAGCCCCTGCGCCTGGCGTTGCTGGCGCGGCCGCCTTGCCAGCAGCAGGGATGGTGCCAGGGGCACCAGCGGAGGGCCGAGGAAGCTGAGGAATGCGGAGTGTGCAGCGGCCTCAGCCCCACGGCCGCGCTGGAGCCCTGCGTTTGCTGCCCACTTAACTTTCTTATCCTGATGAGTGCAGCAGACACAAGGAAGAGGTGGAATTAGAGGGGTGCGGGTGCTGCTGGCCTCCCGGAGCCCTTCGTGTCTCATCCTGCTCTCCCCGCAGCACGAAGCCGCTGCGGATGATGCTGTGGCAGGGGCTGGGCGGGAGCCAGTGCGGTCCCCGCGGGATGTGCCAGGCCCATAGGAAGTGCGGCGGTTTCCAGCGTGCGTGGGGTGACGTGGGCAGGGGTATCGGTGCGCRGGGTCCGAGGAGGCGAAGCGCAGCGAGGAGCGGGGTTTGGCCGGGACCGGTAGTCGCCGGGCAGGGAGGGGCCAGGCSTGTGTGGAGATAAAAGCGGCAGCGTTTCCCCCCCGGGCCCTGCCCTGGGCCAGGGGTGTCCTGGCGCTGGCCCGAGAGGCACCCGAGGAGCAGGAGGCTTCGCGGCTCCAGCTGCTTCCCCCTGTGTCGCTGCTCACCCGTCGTAACGTGGTGCCCTTATCCCGTCTCTCCCACTCCAGGTGAAGCTGCCGCTCCCAAGCGTGTCTCCGCCATGGCCTCCGGGAACGACGGGGACCCGCCGGGCGCCCGCGCGCGCCGCGATGACGATGGGCACGRGCAGCCACCAGAGGTCAATTCAGGTAAACGTTTCCTGCCATATTTGGGGGCGGGGGAGGAAGCATTTTCAGCCAATTCTCTTCTTTTTCCAACTCTGTTTCTGTGAAAAGAACACTTTTCCACACCTCCAGGGCCCTTTGCAAGCCTGGGATAGAAAGCTCAGTAAAGCTAGGCTGAATTGAACGCTGARGTCACCTATGCCATGAGCTGGCTAGTCTCAGCCCGCTAGCTAGCAGGCATTTGTCAGTAGCTGATCCTCGTCTTGGCTAAATGGTTTCTGAGGTGACCAAAGGTACGTGATGCTTAAAACATGCAGAAGAACTTGCCTTGCTGAGCGATGGCCGGTCTCAGACAGGTGATTTCAGTCTTGCTGCCTCAGCTGCAGGATGCACTGAGGTCTCCAGAGCATCTTGGCAGAGCRGGGCTGAATAGCTCTGGATGAAGAGCAGCCAGCGTTGCCTCCCGTCTCCCGCRTGTGCACAGCCCAGCAGACTGTGTAATTGCATTTCCCGGTAGTGGGCGAAACTGGGAACAGGGCCGAAAGAAACCTGGGAAAAACCTCAATTCCCGTTTATCCCCAAATGATAACGTGCCGCTGCACAGAGAGCTTTTAAGCATGGGTGACTTCTTAGCCTGTTTTGCAGGTGGACTGGTAAATAAGGCTGAGTCATGGCAGCTCTGTCAATACTGGAGATTAGAAGCTATATGTACCTGTTTATGCATTTGAGTTCAGACCCAGCTCAGGGCTGTTTTATTGGCCTGATTATGTTGCTTGTGCCACAGTATGACCTGCACTCCCTGCCACCTAGGAGTACCATTAGTGCTGGATGCTGCGTGAATACACGAGAGGGAAAAAACACGGCCCTCCCTTACCAAAGTCTATAAGGCATGAAAATAAATGAGTTAGAGCAGCTGTTTACGTGTGCTGACTTCCTGTTGAGGCCAAAGAGAGGCTGATGTGAAACGCACGGAGGGGATCAGGCCCCAGACACCAACCACCCCGTTGCACAATCGCACTTCCTGCACGTTTGCAAGCTCTTGCAGGCAGCACCGGCATCCCGCCGCCTCCCAAAATTCCGCCTGGAATTTGGAGGTGGGATCTCTGTGCACCTTTTGGGACAGAAGCCACCTGGAAGCAGAAACAGGCAGCTTCCAGCAGCGTGTGCTGTAGGATGACTGGGTGGAAGAGAGCTTTCAGCAACAGGTCCTGAATCAGCTTTTCATTCAGGGCTCTGTTTGTTTGTTTGCCTTTGGATGCAGTAGAGTGAAGAGATTTATCTGCCGCTCAAGGAGTCACTCGAGCGCTGTTCTGAGCCCTTGTTCTGCCAGCGGTGGTGGCGGCCGCGAGCGAGGTGCTGCTCTTCCTGCCCTGCCTCTGTGGCAGTCGCGTCTCGTCTCTTTTTAGAACATAGAACCCAGGCTGAGAAGCCTGATGTTCCTGGCAGCACGTGGTGAAGAGGAGCAGCTTGGCCCATGGATAGTCACGCAAAGGGGAGCAAACACTGCAGAAGGAGGGGTGGGAGRCCCAGCACCACCACTGCTTGCCTGAGCTCGGGAAACAGCGTTCCTGCTTCAGAGAATTAACACATCCATCTTCCCCTTCGTCAGCTCTCACCTGCAGCACGGGCATGGTTGTGTGTCCCCCTTTGGACATGCTGCCTGGGTTTGCACACAGCTATGGGAATGGTGGCTCCCATGGCAGCCCTTGCGCAGTCTCCCTTCTCATCGGGAACAGCTCCACTCTGGAGCTGCCTTCTGCCTCCTTTATCTGGTGGAGCACGTTGCCACCGCAGGGATGTCACCCACCTGTGGGCATCCCCTCGGGTACTTTGTGGGCTGCCAGCCTGGGAATCAACCTCCGTGCAAGCAGAGGCCCCGCGTAGTGCGGTTCTTGCCTAGCTCCCGAGCTCCTCAGGATGCCAGGCTGCACCTGCCAGCACTATGCCCTGCAGCAGGGCTATTTAATTTAGGTGTAATGAGGTCTGATGAGTATCTGAGGTCTGCCAGTTCCTGCTCCYGTGCGGCTGCTCCCTGGGAGACAGGAACAGCGAGAAGGAGAGGACCTTGCACAGAAATGCAGATAGCACCCAGACCTTGACCGGTGTCAAATGCATAATGTTGCTGATGGTGACCTGCGTCCCGTGCCGCAGTGCCGAGTGACCTGCCAACACCTTAATGCAGCCCAAAGGATAATCCCCCACGGTGCATGAAAATCCTGGCAGGCTCCAAACCGCTTCCCCCCTCTCCATGGGGGCACTGGGATCCACGAGGCCGGTCTTGATCCAGAGCCTCTCCCTGAGCATGAGGGACGCTACGATGGTCCCATCTAGGTCAGCACTGCGGGGAACGAGCTGTATGTTCTCCAGTCCTTGTGTTTCTAAAAATAACACCTGGGGTTATCAAAAACAGGGAGTTTTTAGTTCTCGCTTCCTCTTTTGTTCTTGCAATTTGTTTACCCGCTGCCTCTCACTGAAACTGTGAGTCAGTCGGTTTCGTTTTCTGGCTCGCGGGCGCCACGCGGGGCTCCTCCGAAAGGTGGGATTTGTTTGCYGCCAAATAAACCCGCTCCTGCAAAACAAAACCCAGTGCCCTGAGAACAGCGGCAGCCTTGTCCCTTCCCGGCACCTTTATTTACCCAGCCTCAGCTCCGGGTAACCCGACTCCCTCGCGCGGGCCAGGCCCTTGTCCCTGGAGTCCCGTGCGATGTGGCCATCCTGGGACCCCTCTGCTGTGCCTGGCACCGCATGGTTGGTACCTGCAGGATTTCGTGGGTGGTGCTGCCAGGACAGCTGGCTCTGTGCCAGGCTGCAGCCTGGGCTTGAGCTGGAGGTGCCGACTGCAGCAGTAGGACCTATGGGCAGATATCCCGGGATGCTGGGGAAGGGGCTGTAGCTGGGCTTGCTGAAATGAGTTAGACAGCAATGCAGGATATGCACAGATATGCAGATCCCTTTCTAGTGGGGAACGATTGCTGCACAGGGTATTTGTGCGCCGAAAGGGTTTCTGCCCGAGGTCTGAGCTCGGCGTGTCTGTGAAGCGCGAGGTCCCGCCGGCGCGGGGACACGGGCTCCCATACGCCCGTGCTATTTCTGTGCATCCTGGATGGGGAGCTGGGAAGTTGCTTTCCCAGTCCCCACGCTGCTTCCCGGGCGCCCGATGGGTTGGGCACCGGGTGCCAGGCTCSCGGCCAGGCTGCTCCCTGGTCCTGCAGATCGGTGACCTCTAAGCGGAGCCGCGCGTGACGGCCGGGTACTTTCCCCAGCGGCGAGGGTGATAAGGCGGCGGTGTGCGGGGCTGGGCACCTCGCAGGGCCTTGCCCTCCCCTGCCATGTGCGGCGGCGTGGGGCAGGGCGGCCGCATTGCCCTCGTCCCACATGGCCCTAGCTGCTTCCTTGTGACTCACCCAGGTCATTTTTTGTGCGCCGTCACGTCACCCCCAGCCCAGCTCAGCCCCTGCCTCCATGTGCTGCACCGTGCCCGGGCCTGCTGCTTTCCCGGGGGTTTGTTGCCTCGTCACCTCGCTGGTTTTGTGCTTGCAAGGAGCTGGATGGAGAATCGCCTCCCTGGAGCTCGCGGGTTACGAGTTATTTCAAAACGACTTTCTGTCGCGGCCACGGCTGCTGCCCGGCTCATGGCTGTACGCGAGGCTGGCAGCTGTAATCAAACCACCAAAATACCCTCCGCTGACCAGCCTGTCTTCTCCTTGCCGCATCACTGCTGGTGCCTTGCAGCAATTCCCTGTGGGACTCACAGGGGCAAGATCATGGGAGATACTTGAAGAGCAAATGTTTAGGAAATAGGAAAAAACTGTGCAGTCTGCCAGTGAGGGAAGGGCTGCACAGAGCTGAACTTTACCCCTAGTAAAGTGCTGAGGTGTTCCCTTACCGGGAGCATTTGAACATCTGCTTTGTTTTATGACAGTCCTAGGACTGCGTCTTGCCTAAAAGGGACCCAAAATGTGTGCCTTTACCCCTGAAAATCAATAATAGCTCTCCAAAAGCTCAGTTTTAAGCCAATGTGTGTCTCCTTGTGTTTGTTTTACCTTCTGCGTTCAGAACGTTAGTGCCACCATCCTCCCGCTTTGCTCTGCCACCGCAGCGGGGAAATGCTGGCCGTCTCAGGTGCAGTTCTTGTGTATCCTGGTGACTTCCGAAATGCCAGCAGACCATGCAGCCGGGCCCCGGCCGAGGCACTCAGCAGCTGCCGAGAGCCACGGCCGCCGAACGCGGGCATTCCCACCGGGAGAGAGCGGCCGTGGGGCTGCCCCGCGACGGGAACAACGCTCCACTCCCTGGGGAAGGACGTGCAGGATCCGTGGGGAYGGGAGGGCTCCCGCAGAGCGCGGGGAGCTCTGGCCGCAGGTGCAGGGGACAGTGTTGAAGAGCACAAAGCGAGGCTGGGAAGGAAGGACGGGGCTGCGTTGGCGCTGGGGAGCTGCTCAGCGGCCTCGGTGCTTGTGCATCCCTCAGAGGACCAGGTGGCTGCGCAGAGCGAGGAGGTGTTCCGGAGCTACGCCTTCTACCGCTACCAGCAGGAGAGGGAGGAGAGCGGCGAGGAGGCGCCCATGGACCCAGAGATTGCCGAGATTCAGCAGGAGCCCGACAGGTAAGAGCCTCCTGCTGACGGCGCTGCGCATCCCTGTCGCCCATCGCGGCCGGGCTCTGTTCCGGAGCCGGCGCCGCGGCCCCCTCACCAGCGCTGCTCTCTTGTGCCATGTGCCGCCCTGGCAGCATGGGGACGCAGGTGGGAAGGCGCCTGGCCATCATCGGCGACGACATTTACAAGCGCTACGACGCAGAGTTCCGCTGCATGCTGGAGTCCCTGCAGCCCAACAAGGAGAACATCTACGATTACTTCACCAGGATAGCCTCCAGGTAAGGCTGCCGCCCCCAGCTGCACCTGGACACCTTCTCCTACAGGGAGCCAGAGGGAAAGGTGAGGGAAAAGTGGGCAGTGCGCAGCAAAACGTCCAGCTGCTCTGGGTAAAAACTTGCCAGCAACCCAAAGCAGCCCCGCTCCAAGCTCTGCCCCGGCACCCCGACTCTGACACACAATTCAAGCTTCACCCCCTGCCCTTTGGTCAAGCCTCAGATAAGTTCACTGGTTTGTGCCCGTCTGCTCTTGCTCCTGCTGCTGCGCCCTGTTTGGATGGTCGTCACGTGGAAATGCCTTGGCTGCACAGCAGCAATCCCTGCACGAGCTCGTTGGGGTCAGAAAGTCTGGGGGAAGATGTGATTTTGCAAAGCAGGAGCCAAACAAGTGTCCCAGTTTCACTCAGAGATAAAACCAGCCTGGGATGAAGACAGCCCTGCTGCCTGCTTGCTTCCTAGCTAGGAATCCCAGTTTTCCCCTGGAAGCACAGCTGCAGGGTGAAGGCAAGGAGATCATAGGTTTGGATCCGTGTGCTGAGCAGGCTCACGCTGGCTTCATGGAAGTGGCTATGGCACATCCAGCTGTGCTCCACGGGGCTTAATTCTCACCTCTATCTCTGCATTTTGTCCATAGGCATCTTTGCAGTTTGTCTGAGACTGTAAATGAACACGACAGGGTTTGCCCAGGGCCAGGCGGAAAGCCAGTGGCAGCGCTAGGAGAGCAGGGAGGCTCCGCGGGTTCCCAGCGCGGCTCCCCGGCCTCGGGCCCCGCGGCTCCTCTCAGCTGGGGCCAGCCCCACGCACCCTCTGCTCGGGATCTCCTGTCTAACTGCCTCTCTTCTGTCCTCTTGCTGCTCCCCTGTCCTCGGGAAGCCCTGCTGCGCTGTTTTCACCGCTTTGCCACCCTCAGGCGGTTAACGCACCGCAAACAGGTAAATTAACCTCTGTCCCCCTCTTCGTGCCACCTGTTTTGTTGTTTTTCCTTCCCTGGTTTCTAACTTCCCTCTCCTCGCACGACACACACTTTGGAGACGGCAACACGCGTAGGCTCCATGGGGAGGACGGCTCCTTGCACCAGGGACAGCCACGATAGGGCACCAGGTCGAAACAGAGGGGCTGAGTTGGGTCTTTTGTTCTATTTTTCTTTTTCCTATTCTGACTTGGCTTACTGCAAAACAGGAGGAAAAGACTAGAGAAATTTGTCTAGCTAAATCTGTGCATGACCTGCACCAAGGGATGCATTTTGTGCCCATGGCACCCAGAACGTGGATCCAGAGCAATAGGGAGCAACAAGGCACATTTGAGACTCCCCCTGGTCCATGGATGTGTCAATCCAAAGGAAGATCAGGTTTGGCCTCTGGGGGACTTGGYCTCTGTTGGAAAAGGGAAAATCCTGTTCCTACACGTGGGCCCTGTATGTGGAAAAGTAGGATGGATGGCATGTGGCAGGAGCACAAAAGCTACCCCAGTGCTTCCACTCCAGATATTTGGAGTTAGGAGCTGCACAGACCAGATTTGGAGATTTCCTTTTCCCTCGGACAGCTCCAGCCCTCCTAGGTGGGGCAGAGGGGTTGTGATGGAGACCGTGCCTGTCGTGCTCTGCAGGCCCAGCCTGGTTGGTTATTTACGGCCATTAGTTGTTTAGCCACAAAAACGCTCCTTCCTCGGGCGGCYGAGGTGCCCGTGGGGCCGGCGCCGCGTGCGCGGAGCCGCACGGCAGCCCCGGGGTCCTTGGGGCGCCCGCGGCCGCTTCGCGAGGGCTCCTCCRCGACGAGCGGCGCCTTTGTTTCAGCTTGTTTGAGAGCGGCATTAACTGGGGCCGCGTGATTGCCCTGCTGGGCTTCGGGTACCGCATGGCCATCCACGTCTACCAGCACGGCATCCCCGGCTTCCTGCGCTGGATCGCCCGCTACGTCGCCGAGTTCATGCTGCGCAACCGCATCGCCCAGTGGATCGCCCAGCAGGGAGGATGGGTGAGCGAGCCGGCGCACGGGCTGTCCCAGGGGAATCGCGCGGCGCCCGGGGCCGGGCGGGGAAAAGGGCAGGCTGGCGACGACGGAAGCACTGGGATCGGTGGGATCGCGCTGATGGGAGCGGTGTGGAAACCTGGCCCAGGCAGCGCTCAGGTGCCTCTAATGGATCTTCTGGTAACTCTCTGTTTCCTGCCAGGTGGCTGCACTCGAGCTGGATAATGTTTACATGAAGTATATGTTGGCGGTGCTGGCCCTGGTCTTGGTGGGGCATTTAGTGGTACGACACTTCTTCAGGTCCTGACTGACGCGGGGACAGAGGCTGGGGGGCCCAGCTAAGCTCTCTCTCAACTCTGCTCTGCAATAACGACGTCTCCCAAGAGGGGAGGATTCGAGGAACCTCTGAGAGAGAGAGCAGCTTGGACCTACGACCCCTCCACCGCAGGGCCAGGGTCTCTGTCATTCATGGAGACACCACCAGGAGCTCCGGAGAGAGGCAGCGAGGGGGGAGAGGTTTGACTTGGTCATCTGTTTTATGCCTCGCTTAGCTACCGAGGAAAGAGCATCGCTCGTAGCAYGTAGCGCTGAGACGGGAGAGCAGAGTCCTCTGACACAGGCGCTGGAGGAATGAATGGGTTGGGATGACGCCTCGGTATGCGAGTGTCCGCGTGCGCGTGTCCTGTCCGCTCTGTGCTGAGCTCGAGAGCCTTCCTTGGGACAGGCGCAGGGCTGACGCCTTTGCTGATGACTCTGCCCCAACTCTGCCTGCGTCTAAGGAGGGTTTGCGGCCTTGATCGCTGCACTTCTTGTTTGTAAGTCAGCAAAGGGCAAGCCAGCATTAAAACGCCTCTGCGGGGTTGTCTTTGCTTTTCCTCTGCTCCTGAGCCCAATTATTTGAGTCTTCTCTTTCCCTCTCTACCAAAAATCCATGTCCTTTTGGAAGAAACACACCGACTACTGTCACGTGGCAGTCGATGGTGGTATCTGCCAGTGGTGGCAGGTAGGCTCCCCTGCCAGACCTGGAGACCCGCAGCTCTCCCATGGCTGACACCGGTACTGGGGCTGCGCGGGCTGCTCCTCAGCCTCCTGCGAGTCCAAAGGCTGCCAGCAGGCTGAGAAGCACCAGCAGGTCTCCAAACACTAACAAGCTGTGGGGTGACTAAGAGCCAGTGCAGACAGGGCACTGCCCTCCGCTCCTGCTGGGTGCTTCCCTGCAGCAGAGCCGAGTGCGGCACGAGGGCGGCCCGAGCGAGCGGCAGGCCCTGCAGCTCCACGCGATGCCCGGCAGCTCCCTCCTCTTGCAGCCGGCCCTGCAGCTCCACGCGATGCCCGGCAGCTCCCTCCTCTTGCAGCAGGCCCTGCAGCTCCACGCGATGCYCGGCAGCTCCCTCCTCTTGCAGCAGGCCCTGCAGCTCCACGCGATGCCCGGCAGCTCCTTCCTCTTGCAGCCGGCCCTGCAGCTCCACGCGATGCCCGGCAGCTCCTTCCTCTTGCAGCCGGCCGCGCTGCACCGTCCTGGCATGCTCTGTGTGAGGTCAGGGCTGCGGTGCCCACACTGCCGCCTCCATGGAGGGTTTCTTTGGCCTTGTGCTGCTCGTGGCATGCTGAAATGTGACTTTTGGGGAGGGAGGGAAGCAGGCACCCCCCTTCCATCCCAAATCTTTATGACTTCTCTAAATTGGGGGGAGAGTCCCACTGTGGTTTGGCTCTGACTGTCCTTTTTACTCCAGAGGTCTTTGTAAGGCTTGAAACTGTGCCYGGCTCTAAGTCAACCTCGCCCTATTCCAGCACCCTTGTGCTCTTAAAGCAGCCTGGCCGGCAAGGGCACCTCTGAGGTAGGAAACGAGCAGTGGCCCTCTCCAAAAGCAGAGCTGTCCTAAGCTGCAGTGGGTCTAGCAAGAACGTCACCGCGGTCAGGCTGAGCTCTGCTGCCCCGGGGAGCCTTGACGGGCTTTCCTGCTGCAGGGAGGACAGGGCGGCCACAACTGACCCTCTCCATGGYGTGGGGATCAGCAAACCAGGGCAGAGCCGGTGCCACCTGCATCCCCCTGGTGACACCTGCATGAGAGCCCAATGGGGAGAGGGAGGTTGAGGGGTCTTCAGAGCAGCTCACCCACCCTGCTCTACCAAAGGCTTCCCTCAGAGACACTGGCCTCTCTGCTTTTAAAAGCCTCCAGTACTGCCTCTGCTCATCCATGTTTCCTACCTTAATCTTTACCTTCAGAGAGATTTTTGTCCTCAGTATCTGTCCCTCGCCTCAGTTTAAGCTTGTTACTCCGTGTCCTGTCCAAGCCCAGTGACAGGACAGCTTATTTCCTTTCTCTTTGCAACTGCRGAGGCTTAGCAGGACCAGCCATAATTTTTAAAAATCATTTATCATGTCCCTCCTGTTCCTGTCCATTTTTAACCTAAGAGTAACAAACTTTCCAGCCTCTTTACCTATCAGGGGCTTCCTAAGCTGATCTTTTTGGCCCTGACTRTTCCTGCAGTATCCATTTCCCTGGTGGAGTCCCCCAGACTCTGGTCAGTAGAAAGGCATTAAAATATTTGCTGTAATATTCCTCTTCTATATATTGCTTTATTTTGGTTGCTTTCCGCGTTACCCATTTGCACTGAGCAGCCCAGACGTCCGGCGCGATGTCTGTGCCGGGTTTTGCGGCTGTGCTGATGCTCCAGGCAGTCGAGTGCCCACGTATTTCACTTCTCCCCTTACACCTGCATCACTTTGCATTTATCCACACACAGCTTCATTTACCATCACGGTACCTGTTCACCTGTCCTCAGCAGGTCTTGAGACTTCCTGACTCTTCTCTCGTTGGAACTTGTCTAAGTTACTTGGCTCCAGCTGTAGAAGTTCCCATTGCCCCAGGTTACCTTCTTGTTGGGTGGAAACACCACCAGATGGAGCCTTTTTGCCACAACCAAAGAGAACCGCTGGTTATTTTCCTTTGCTTTGCATCAGCCACATTACACACATGCTGCTCTCCTCTAGTCAMGCTGTTTTCTTGGTCTCGTTGCCATCAGGACTTTGTCAGAGGTCTTTGGAAAGCAAGGGGAGAGAARTACATGAGCGTGTCCTTTCGTTCACTACTTTACTGACTTATTCCCAAAACTCTAACAGTTTGGAGGCCAGAAAGCCATGTTGCTTGTAACTCACTGTCATCTTCCAGGCCAGGTCCTTCACCTTGCTAACCAGATACAAGAAAACAGACATTTTTCAGCCTTACGATAGATGATCGAGGCTTCAAGAAACTTGACAAACAGGTGCTGTAACAAACAAGTGGTTCCATTTTAACCATTTTCTCAGGGGATTTGCAGGGAGGGTTGTCCCAGGGTATCAGCACGTTGCCTCACGCTGTTCTCCCCTCTCCCGGCCTCCGTGGACAACCCTCCCTGGCACTTGCTTCCAGGTGGAGAAAAGCTTGAACTGGGAATGTGAACGGGGTGAAAGGTCTGTAGTTCTGTGTCCTGTCACTGGATGGCTCCAGCTCTGCAGATAAAGCCACCCCAGGGGCAGAGGGGCTGAATTCCCACCCAGGAGCAGCCCTCAGGCAGTCCCAGTCCTTGGTGCTCCTCAGCCCCAGGCTTTACTGCTCCCAGGCACCCGGCCAAGGGAGCACCACCAGCCTCGTGTCTCCTGCTCTTCAGGAAAGTACTAAGTGCTTCAGGAGGAGGCTCAAGTGGGGTCCYCCCCTCTGGATTTGGGGGCCCCGGGGCAGACTAAGAGGCTGAGATGTCTGTAGGAGTTGGGCCCTTTCCAGAGAGCCACAGCAGGGTAGGTGCCTTGAAGGCCCCACAACAGAGCTCAGGCCGAGGGTCACCTTGTGCACCTGAGGCCACCGTGACTATAGGCAGAAGGTGCTCGCTTCTCAATGGAGCCAGCAGCTGCTTTTACCAAAAAGAAGGGTTTTTTTTTCTACAGAAATAAGAGCCCTAAAGAAAAAAAAAAACCCTAGATTCTTAGAATAATTCCAGATTTTCTTCACAGGGCTGAATCAGGTGATTCTGATTATGATAAAGAGCTGATGAACTACAGCATTTTTTTTTACCAGTCCAGTTTAATTGCCAACCCATCATATACTGCACCTTGCACAAAACCTGGAGCATCCGATGCACTGAGAGCAGGGCTCTCCTGGTGTCACCTCAGCCACCATGGTGCTATTGGGGCACGGCTGCCCCCAGGCCTTTGGCTTGTTCCCCTGATAGTGCGAACAAGGGCAGGCAGCCTTCAAGCAGAAAATCAAGGCAGGAGACGAGGAGAAGGCTCCCCTGTGGCTGAGGTTCACAAGGGCAGGATAACCCTAGGTTGCTCAAGCATCCAAGCGTACCCCCACACAGAGCAGGGCTCCCTAGATCCTCACCAAGGGGCTCGCTGGACGGTTGCTGGGCAGACCTGTCGTTTCACAGGCTCGGTGACCGGCGTGGGCTTGTGTTGGAGGAAGGGGTGGCTCTCCAGGCTGCTCGGATCCCGGCTGCAGCCACCCGCACACGCAGTACCCAGCTGGCTCACGGGGGAGACAGAGGAACAAGAGGCTTGTGCTCTTTCCCCTGCTCTTCCCACTGCCAGGATCCATCACACGAGGTGGATTCTGTGACCTGGGGAGACTGGGATTTATCCCAGAAGCAGCAGAGAGGGGTGCGGGTGGCGCCAGCTCCAGGTCCCTGCGCAGGGAGGTGCCTGGAGGGCTCCTGGTTCAAGCAATGTGTGTGATGTGGAGAGGGCAACAGGATCCACTTTAGAAAGTTATAATCATTGCATGGAAGAGGGATGAGAGTCTGAGGGTCTCCTATATTGAGCCTGCTCCATAGCTGAGGGTATTTGATACCCCTGCTTGCTCCCTGCTCCTTCCCCCCTGGATGAAGGAGCCAGGAGTTTGCTTGTGTGAACCCCYCTTCCCTTTTTGTGCCTGCTGTGAGACAGAGCCCGGCCCTCCTGCGCCGCGGGGCCCCGGGAGCTCTGCCCTGGAGGGCGGCAGCTCGGCTGGAGCCTCCCGCAAAGCTCCGGTGCGGAGCAGCTTTCACCRGTATACTTGAAGTCACACTGGCACTAGTCATGCTGGTTCTGCCTTGCTTTTGTCACAGTATCCAAGTGCACGGTGTTCCACACAGCTCATTCCTGCTCTCCTCCAGCAAATCCTGCTCTCTGCCAGCCCAGGGCACGGGGCAGCCATAAGCCACGCTTTGTACTGACCCCGGATGGGAAGGACTGATAAATCCCAAATCCCCTTCCCCCGCCGAAGGAGGCGGAGAGGAAGGAGACTGGAGATGACTGGTGCTCTCAAGAGTAGGGGAGAGGGAAGAGGAGTTCTGTCGGCAGGACATCTCCCCCGTGCAAACCATCTTTAAACAGCAGGCAAGGGGGCTGTGTGGAACGTAGTAGGTTGCTTTTACCAGAAGAAAGTGTCTTTCACAAATACTCTGTTTTAAAATGATGTAATATATATATATATGTGTTTGAAAAATAAAGAGATACATGCAGTGCAAGCTCTTCTGGCTGTGCTGAAGGTTTTCTTCCAGGAGAAACACTCATTTGCAAGGCATCCAAAAAGTTAGCTTTTGGCTGCAGCGTAAGTTCCCATGCACAAATTTGCCCAAGCTACTTAGTCCCAGCCTCAGTTTCCTCATTGGTATATGGCTATACCTGGCTGGGACATCTCAGAGAGATAGTGCCTGGAGAGCAGATGCCTCAGGGATAAAAAACAGACAGCTAATAGAAATTAGTGCTGTCCCGGCACCGCTGAACCTGCCCAGAAGTTAAGGATCTTATCTGCAACGCGTCCACACCTCCCTAGCAGGGAGAAACAAGAATAGGAAATTGCGAAAGAAAAATCCATTAGGGAGGCAGACAACGGAGTTCAACYGCCATAAAACACTCCAGAAAAGGGCCTGCGTGTTCTTATCAGAGACAAGTCCATCACACACAGGACAGGGAGGTGCTACCCCCTTGCTAGACCAGAAGGATGAGGTGACAGCACCTGCCCGGCCAAGGAGAGCTCCAGCTGGCCCAGGGATGGGCAGGGGGCT